AAACTTCACAGTCAAAAAATTGGGGGGTGGCTTATACAAAGGGGTGCTTATACATGGGGAAATACGGTAACTAGAAGACCCCACAATTTTTCCTTTGATCCCCTCAAACGACTGTGAGTGACTTAGTTCTAATCGCAGAATAACTGATAGCTTCGAAGCACACTCATGCCGACTGTAAGTAAAGTCGTCTATTGCAATGGAAATATCCGTTTACTTTACTGACAGTCCCACTATGAAATGAGAATTAGAATAGGTCTGGCTTCTCTTGAAAGTTGCATCTGGCCTGTGACCCACTTACAGTTGTGGTGGTTTGGTGAAGTGATAATCTTGTTTCGAAGCCTGGTGGGGATGGTGATAAGGAACGATAGGGCGAGGCAAATACTGTCGTCTAGTCCATGCGATATAAGAAAATCTCTTTGTGGGCAAGTCTATACAAAAGTCACTGACATCATAAGACCTAGTGATATGACTTTGGAAAAAAACTTCATTATCACTTCTTATCTCCTCATTCTAAAAGACGCGAATACAATGGGATTTCTCCTGGTTTAATGGTGTGTGACGAAGGGATTCATATATGGATCACATGAGGAGGCGATATCGCATCCCACTCACTCTGCTGTAGTCTAATTTCACTGACACGCACACATTGAGACGTATACCTTTAGATCAGGTGAAAACGAGCCGAGCTTTTTAAGTGTTGGGTTGACCTTTTTTCATGACTTGGTAGTGCGTCGTCAAGGCGACTTCAAAGAAAGAGCCCTGTGATGTGTCCTTTCCAGTACTGTAGTGATTTCGTATCGGCCGGATACACTGACAGAAGGTTCGCCAACGTTAAAGCCAACATCGAATATGAGAAAGGTCAGCCTCGAGTCCTTAGTCCACCTTAGCCAACTTCCATCAGATGATCCATTCTGTCTTATCCACATGACTAGTATTAAGGCCCCTCGTCGCTGCCGCTTGTATCTTTCATACTCGAGGGTTAATTCTCATGACTGGCCACGAATTTATGATCCAAAGAAATCAGAATTGTGATTCTCATGCTGGTGACATTTTCATTTCTCAATAAGCAATTAGTCGGCCTAGATCTCCTAAGCTGATTAAAGGACTTATAATTGAGTTTTGCCAAAATAAGGTGCCATCAAAGAACTGTGAGTTCGACTTTGCCTCGCCATTTCATCAGCATTCCAAATGGGATTCGGTACAGGGTTATGGGTATCATGGCGATATTTTCACTCCCATAGACAGCTAAGTGTGCCAGCGGTTGACAAGTCAGATCTGACATTCAGAGCAAGCCAGGCCCATCCAAAACCCCATTTCTGGCAAACATGTATCTTTTAAGTGCAACGGATAACGTCACTCATTTTGGGTATTAATATATGTCAGGAGTATTGGAAATTCTTGAATAATGCCAGTCATTCTCATGCTTGGGCCCTTCCAATTCCAGTTAACTTCAACGCTGAATTTCCTGTTTCAACCTCCTCCAAATCCTACCCTTTGTCCCCACCCTTCCTGGGACCCACAGGTGTGGCTTTCTAGCAAATGAAAGTATGGATGAGATGTAGTCACCCTATTTCGACTGGTAGTAGAATTTTCACACTATCATTTGAGTAGACCTTACGTTTCCATTCAAATTCACAGTATTGCTTCTCAAAAGGTATTCTTATCCCGGCTGGGGTGGACTGCAGTTTCGAACTCGCCTAGGTCTCGACAATGGAATGTGATATAGCAAAATGCTTGGCCTTCTCTGAAATGCATACCAACCCTGTGATCCAAAGATACTCGTGGCCGTCTGGTGCAGTGGTTAACATGTATAGATTATAGGCTAAAGTGTCATGGATCGAGTCCCGCTGGTGGTGCTGATGAGGCCAGTCCAGGCGAGATCGAAACTGCAGTCCATCTTTGATGGGAAATCAAACCTTTAGGAAATTCATTGGAAATGTAAGGTCTACTCATATGATGGTGAAAAAACAAAATCACCCTACACGAAATAGGGTAAATACATCTCATACATCTGATCTACTGGTAGTCTCGAAAACCTGTTGATAAAACGAAAGTGTAGAGTACTATCAATTCACTTATCCAATTCTGCCTCGTCACCATGTCAATACATTGAGCTTTTGACAATCAGTTTTGCATTATTATCGCAACTTGATAGTGCTGTCAGGGTGACCTAGTCACAAAGTTTCAGCTTCTGTCGGTAGACTTAGTACATTTCCAGACATTTCGCCCCTATAATTGCCCTATTTGTTAGACTGTAATCATGAACAAATGGCGATAATGAGATTAAATCACTTCTCTCCAACGTAAGGAGACTGCGACCACCATCTTGATCCTCAAACTATGAAATAAAGATTGAAAAAAATCCCACTGATTAGAGCCTGAAAAAGATGATATTTCTTGCTGCTAGGACTGGCAAGGCTCACTGACGATGCAGACTAAGATGCCAGCGAAGCATCTGGGAATGTGGCAAGTTCTTAATTTGTAACTGGCAATTGCCATGACTACTCTGGTAGAGGTCTCCGGACAAGATACGTTGGTCTAGGCGCCCCTGGCAATGAGCATAAATTGTGAAAACGAGGTCAAGGGAATACTACACTACCAGACTAGAGATCATACCATTTTGATCTTCACACCTTCAATTGAAGTGAGCTATTGTATGCCTCTGTTTCCCCTATGCTCTAAACAATCTAGCCTCATCATACCTGTCTTGTGGGTTGATGGGAAGAAGCAGTGCTTTGGGCTGGATGTCGTGTTCACCACTTGGCGTCTCTTCACAACATGGCTCCCACCCCTCGGAACCATCGGACCGAAGCGAGCACAAGGCGCTGCTCCTCTCTCTCGGATGAGCCCAGTGGTTACTCCAATTTCGTCCGACGAATCAAGATCAGCCTTGAGTGTATTATGAAATTATTAATAATTTCTTTCTAACCGGTTGGTTACTCTAGTTCGTGTATGCTGGTTTAGGGAATTAAATGGGAGATTTTTCCCACAATGAAATGAGTGGGCCTCATGGTGCCATTGCATTTCACATGTTTTTACCTTCAAAAAAGCGTCATGTGGCCTATTCATATGATTGCGTAAAACATACAGCATTATCACACCTTAAATCTCCTCAAGCTAATTTGGATAACCAAGTTCCTGGTAAAAGCCAGGTGGCTAGTGTATGTACACGGTGTCTATGGGCATTTTGAGGCCACCTTGACTCCCAGATCTTTTGGGCTTCCGTTACTGAGGCGTCAGAAGCCTCCATAGGGACGGAGACAGCCAATTGACCAGTAGTCACTCAAACTTTTCCCAGTTTCGGAGGCCCATTCGGGAGAGCCGAACCAATGAGGATACAACGATTCTCATGACGTCCGCCCCGACTTGCGCCCTGTCGAATAACCGATTCTAGCTTACCTCGTCTTGAGATTATCGGAGGGCGATGTCTGGAAGATAAACACACTCCATCCTCATCCTTACCACCACCACCACCACCACAACCATTATTATCATCATCATCATCATTAGGTGCCCGACTAGTCATCGTCCTCCCATCGCAAACTCTTTTGTCTTTAGCGCTGCCTTTCAGGATTTTCCACAGGCGGTTGAGTCGGTTTGGCTCCATGCGGTTGGTGGTGGTGGACCCAGCGGCCGGACACCTTGTGTCGTCAGGCGTTTCGATATTGCACTATAGACCGATATAACGTCGTCATAACGGCAATAACTGTGCACCAAACGACAGCATCATTACATGTATCAGTGAATAGAAACGTCCCTGAAGGTGCCCAGCTCGATCAGTTTCATCATCGTCTCGGGCACGATTCTCAAAATAGCCTCAATTTTTGGTCAATCCTATTGGCGTAAATGATGCCTGATTTGTGAGGGCTCCCACCAGAACCAGAAAGGGAATGCAATTTCCAATTGTTGGATTTCGGTTCGTCAAGTGAAGCAGATTACCTCTATGTTGAATTGTTGTGTGTTGGTATTCAAGTATAGCTGAAAAATGCAAAACCTACTTATAACGAGTATATAAGTAACGTGGTCTAGTCAAAAGGCAAATACCGAGAATATAAGTTGGGTTTCGAGGTCGCTTAGGGTGAAGGAGGAATTTTGAAATGTCTCACAATGCCAGTGATTTCCACGTAGACTTGCTATCCAAACGGTATTCTCTCCCGAATGGACTGTTTCTTCGAGCATGACAGGACG